GGTCTCGGTCTTGTTCGGATACACGGAGTACCACTCGCGAATTATTTCCGAGTCATGGCACTTGACCAGCACCTTGGAGTCGAAGACCAGGTTCAGCGGATTTCCCTCTGGATTGTGACAGATGCGGGCTTCCTGCTCAAAAATCATGATTACACGGAAGATTTTGGCGGCGGGTTTCAGGCTTCGAGTCAAGTTGGCGTAGGCGCGAAAATCTCTTCTCGACTGCATTACCATGAAGAGCAGTGGATCATTGATTTTGCTGTGATAGTATCTCAGATCCATCGCCAATTGATTTCTTTTTACGACGGACGAGTAGATTGAATTGCTCGACAGCCATTTGATGATATCAATGTCGCGTCTTGTTCTGTACAAATCTATGTATAGAAAAATAATTGGATTTTTTCTTTTTTATTATTTTTGATAATCGTGAAATACGCTACCGTTGACGTCCGTTCGAAGTGTGACGACATATTTCGCAAAGTAAATATTGGAGAAGTTAAGAAAATGCTGTAGCAAGGCTTTTTGATAGTCATCAAATCTCGTAGTTAGAGCCGGTATGACAAATAAAATAATAAATTTATAAATCCGCATGACCGATTGGCTTGTGTATCTTTTTACAAAGTACGGCAGTTGATCGTGTGAAAATACTGGGGACATTGATTTTTCAAGGCACGCCACGTGCCTGTTGCGAGAAAGAAAGAAGGAGGGGGAAAAGCTTTTAACGCTCGATAACAATGGCTCAAAAGCACAATCAGTCGAAAATTACAAGGTCTATCGTTTGTGTTGAAATAGAATCCGATATGGTTTACACTTTTTTACAATCTTGATAATATTATCCTCGCTTTTCATTTCCAGAAAGGACAGGAAAACTCGGCTTTCATGGGCGACAATTGCGTCACACTTAGACTCGTAGTAATTGGGAAATCGCGGTCCATCGGAATATCACGAAACCAAAGGGCTCGGCCGAGCATTACAAGTGGGATAAAATCATGGGAACATCTTGCTTAACAACAAGAAACATTTTGAAAATTTTTTCTATTTAAGTATAATTATAAATGATGTTAGAAAAATTTTGTTTGTGCGGAAAATCTCCTCCCATGGCAGTCGAAAAAAATAAATTAAAGAAATATCTTTACAACATATTAAAAATCACAACAAAACGTTTTTATTTAAAAAGTTTTAATAGCATTGGAAAATAACTTTGAAAAATATTTTTTTTAAGATTGAATAATGTTTTATTAAAATTATTTTAATATTTTCTTACAAAGATTTTTTTATGCATTGAGAATTTCGTGAGATTTTCTTGTTTTCTTATATTCGGCTTTACCTCGGCGTCATTATCACGGCCTATACTTCATTTTCTTGAATTTCAAAATGTTTAATTGATGAAATATTACTTTTCGTCACCAACAAATTTGATGAACTGAAAAACTCATTTACTTAAAATGTTCGTTAAACATTCATCAATTTGTAGTTATATTTAGGTAAATTTATAAAAATTAGTGTACCCCAACACTAAGATTTATGATTTAGACATGTGCACGAAGCTATATAATGACTCGAGTTATTATTTGACACGCAACACGCGAGTGAGAGATAGAGACGCAGAGATACACAACGCTACATTGTACGTTTAAAAAAATTATTTTCGTGAAAAAAGAGGTTTTTCAGCTCTAGGCTGAATGGACATGAATGGAAAATTCTGAGAAAATTCAAGGAATCGTTTTTTGACGTCAGAATTCAGAAAAAAATACTCCGGTCTGGTACATCGAACCATTTCACCGAAAATCAAATAATTTAAATTTTCAATGATTTTTTCTGAAGGTCTTAGGCACTCAAAAAATCTGAAAAAATTCAAGGTCGTTCGGATTATGGGACAGTACTTTTGTAAATTTTTTCAGATTTTTTAATTGCTTCAGGGTTTCAGAAAAATATTGATAAAAAATTGACGTTTATAGGGGAGAAAGGTGGTAGGAGGAGGGGGGGGGGGGGNGAGGGGGGAGGGGGTCCAAAATTTTGGTTTTGGCACTTTTTTATCATGTACCATAACATACCAAAATTTCAGGAAAATCCATGAACCTCGCCCGCAGGTTTATTTGAAAAATTCTGAATCTGACCCATATATATTGTGTAAGAGCTTTATTATATAAGATGTTGCTACTGTGTAGGTTCGCAACCAACTAACTGTAAGTATACCAGTGTATAGTGAGGTTTACGGATATGACCTCTCGCGGGTATATATGGTAGTAATTACCGGATAACAACAAAAACTGCTTAAAATTTACCAAACAACCTGTGTGAATTCTTAGCAGGTTTTGTCCTCGCTGCTGTGATCTGTACATATGATCTCGCGGCAGTTTGGTTAACACCTGCTTAAACCTCAATCTCGCGGCTACCGAGATGCCAAGCATCTCAAGTAATCTTTTACTCATAAGAGGTTGGCTAATACTCAAGCGTTTTGTCCTGGGCTTCCGTACTGGACTCATCAGTAAGGCAAAATGTAGGGAAGCCCTGCCTTAAACGCTTGGGATAGTGGAGGTGGAGCCAGTATGTATAACGTATTATCCAAATAACCTAGCCACTTGTGGGAACCTTTTAATAAGGTACAAGAACTACCTTAACAAAGATACTAACATGCCTGCGTTTCGTCCCAGGCCTACCTACTAGACTCATCAGTAAGGCAATGTAGGAAGGCCTTGCCTTAGACGCTTGGGCGAGCATATATATATATATATATACTCGCTCCAAATAACCTAGCTGGTTTGGTTGCGGGAAGTGGACGAGCATCCGTGACTGATACGAGCTGATCGTAAGTCAGTCACATATCCACCGTAAGACGTCCAGGATTCCCATCAGACGTTTTCCACCTAAAATTTTTAATTTTATAAATTTTACATATTACACGTGAAATATTATTATGTGCATAAAAAAAGTCTACTTACGTCCTGCCGCTTTTTTCAATTATTGTCTTGGCCAAGGTTGGGAGTTTACTAACGCCATCTTTGCTGCCTTGGCCCCGACCAGTGACCACTTGAATGCATTTAGAGGTTTTATGGATCTTCAAAAATTTGTCCAAAACAATTTCTGCCTCTTTTTGTTTGAAATAATGCAAATCTAACGTGTGAGAAAATCTCTTACACGTTAGATTTAGTTGCGCAAATAAAACAAGCAGCCTCAGGGAATCCAAAAACGGGTGAATCTTTTTGTTCGCCCACTTCCTATACGCCGCCATATCGATGAATTTTTTAATTTGCTCCTCAAAAATACGGCAAGACTTCCTCTAGAAAAAAGAAAACATAAATTGATAAAAAATAAATGAATGCATAGAATACATATAAAATAAAATACGATAAAAAAATATAAAAAATAAAATGAATAGTAATATGAGCTTACATTTTTTACATCCAAATTAACATATTGTTGATATAGACATTGGACGAACGTCGTCAAGGCTCTGAAATTGGTGATGTCTGCTTCATTGACCTCACTTTTCGAAGCCTCAATTCTTATATTTTTTAACCATTCTTCAAAGTTTGCCTGCACTTTTGAGCAGGAGAAAGTTAAAAAATATTTTAAATCGTATTCAACCATCTGAAAAAATCAGTGAAAAATAAATGACATTAGAAAGGTATTACATTAGAAAATTATAATTAAATGCTCATGTTAATGATTATGTTCTACTCATGTATTGTATGGCCGTACACGAGTACGAGCAATGCGCGATGGCTTACGGCCCAATCCGCCAGAGTGCGTTGTGTGCGCGAGCGCTCGAGCAGCGAGCCGTGTGTGAGTCACGAGTCAGACGAGTTGCAGCCGCAGTGCCGGATGGACGCGCGCTGTACGAGCAACAATAAGTAATAACTGAGGTAGCACGAGAGAGTGAGAGTGATTGAGCACGACCACAGGCCTCTCTTGAATTATTAAATAAAGTTATATTTTGTTATTGATTATTTGCTGGCTACCCTCATTATTACATCTCAGAAGTGGGATAAAGAATCGAGTGTACGTATTGAAAATCTCGATAGTAAAATTTTGTTCGTTTCGGAGCAAACACAAAGTTCAGTGTGTGAGCTGAGAAGGTGCAGTTATCTATATGAAACGACGTGCTACGAGTGAAACGTTTCATAGTTCGAAAAGGCTGAAATTGGAACTTGTGAACTGTGACATACGACCTGAACCATCAAGAGATAGTTCTCTACAAGAAGCTGCAGACGCATTACTTGGACTCGGTAGGAGCGGACAAAACCAAGGTGAAAATTTGGAGCACCAGAACCATTGTACGACGACACATCCGTCGCAGAACGACGAAAACATGGACGCGAATCCTGCTGAGTTCATGGCAAGCTTGAAAACTATTATTGAGCAAAACGCTGCTCTTATACAAGGAGTTATAAAGCAACAACAACAGCAACCAGCCACAGTGCAATATGGCGTGCTTCCTGATTTGTCGCACAATATAAGAGACTTCGATGGTCTCGAAAGTTCTGCTGATGCCAAAGCATGGCTGAGACAAGTCGAATCGACAGCAACTCTGCATAAATGGACGGAAGGCATTGCATTTGAAACGGCTCGAAGTCGTCTTACGGGCGCAGCGAGAAATAGGTATTATGCCAACATGACCGAAATCGTGAACTGGAGGACATTCCGAGCATTTTTCTGAGATATCTTCACAACCGAGAAATCTCTCACAGATAAGTGGCAAGAGATGAAACAGAGAAGCCAAGGACAGGATGAGGATGTGCGAAAATATTATTTCGACAAGTTACGTCTGTGTAAGGCATTGAAATTCTCGATTGATGAGATAAAGACACAAATGGCCGTTGGCCTATGGCCGCGAAACACAGCAGCAGCAGTTATGTCTAAATCATATTTCGACGCGAACGATCTACTCCGAACAATCACGGAATTCGAGGGATTGGAGCAAGCGAGAAAGCAATGCATCGACTCGCAGACAGCACCGAGCAAAATAAAAGCGCACGACGATCGGCGAAAAGGCAAGCATGGCGGTAAGATGCAGCGTAGCAGCATGGCTATTACAAGCAATCAAGCGAAAACGGAGTCGAAGAAGACAACAGCATCAGAAAGTCGAAGGATGTATCTAACATTGAATGCTATAAGAGCCACGCGACCGGCCACATAGCAAAACACTGTAAAAGCGCGGTTACATGTTATAATTGCGGTGTCACCGGACACATCTCAAAAAATTGCGACAAACCGAAAAAGATGCCCGCTGCCGAAGCTAAATTAATAAATAGAACTTGCGCCGACGCATCCGCGAAATTTCTTAAGAATGTAAAAATTGGCAACGTTGAAAATATACGCGCGGTTATTGACTCGGGAAGTTCGAACTGTATCATAAAAGCATCACTTGTATTAGAACATGGTTTTAAATTCATTAAAACGCCTAATATTATGAAAGGTATTGGTAAGCCCGGATGCGAGGTAATTTCGTGTGGCATTATCAAAGAGCAATTACAAGTCGACGAATGCACAGAGAAAGACGTAATTTTTCGTGTCGCGCCTGATGATATTTTGCCGTACGATGTGCTCGTAGGTCAAAATTTTACTGAACTGCCGAATGTAGTGTATTATAAAATCAATGATAAACTTGAATTCCGCACGAGAGATAATCATCCGTTCGCGAATTACCCCGAGCCTGTGCAAACAAATAGACGCGTACGACCTTTTGTGCTTGAGTCAACGAATATACCGCCTGCCTCTGTAAATTTTGTCATTGTAAAAGTTGACGAAAAAGAATGGAATTTGCCAATTCAAAATTTTGAAGTGAAAAATTAGTATCTGTGAATACAAACGATATGAGTTGCCGAGCATTAGGTGTAACTTAATACAAGGAAACATTCCAGAGCTAAAGGTCGAGAATGAGCCGATCGTAGAATCCGATTTCGTAGTAGGTCCGACCGTGGACGCTAAGCAGAAAGAATCGCTGTTGCGATTATTAAATATGTATCGCGTATGTTGCTCGCGATCAGACCGTGAATTAGGCTGCACGAATTACGTTGAGATGGATATTATTGAAACGGCAGATGCGACGCCCGTTCATTCGAAACCGCATAAAGCCAGTGCAAAGCAACGAGAGCAGATGAAAAACATTGTTGGCGAGTGGAAGGCAGCAAGCATTGTCACAGAAACGCAATCCCGTACGCGAGTCTGTGTCTGCTAGTTGATAAGCCTGATGGATCGAAACGTCTCGTGGTCGATTATCGGCGGCTAAATAAAAATACCGTTCGCATGAATTTTCCCTTGCCTAATATAGACGATGGTTTAGAAGAGTTGCACGGCGCAAATATTTTCGCGATTTTAGATTTAGCACAAGGGTACTTGCAAATTCCGTTGACGGAGCGCGCGAAAGGGAAAACAGCTTTTATTACACCCGACGAGACTGGCCAGTTCGTGAGAGCTAAGTTCGGCCTTATGAACGCACCGTTTTATTTTTCAAAACTGATGAAAAAGGTCTTCGGCAATTTTCAGAATAAGCTCGCGCTATTCTTTTTTGACGACATGCTTGTATACGCGAAAACATGGGACGAATTACTAGAAAAGCTAGAAACAATTCTACAATTATTACGCGATGCTCGACTGATGCTTAAGTTACGTAAATGTCGTTTCGGTCTCGAGGAAGTCGAATACGTCGGATTGATCGTTGGCAAAAATGGAATTAAGCCGGGAGAGAGAAAGATAGTCGCGATATCAGAATTTCCAGCTCCGCGAAACGAACACGAGGTTCGGCGATTCATTGGAACGGCAAGCTATTTTTGACGTTTTGTACGTAACTTCGCCCAAATAGCAGCTCCGTTGAGCGCGTTACTGAAAAAGGATATACTGAAACGCGACACGCGCGTTTCGAGGTTATACAGGCCGCGATGTAACGTAAGCGCCTATACGGATGTGTGATACGCGCGCCGAGCTGCTGTTCTACTCGCGCCTCGCGAATATACATTCTTGTGTATATGCATTGTTGCTTTTTTTCTTTTTCTTACACTCGCAGGTGGTGTGCCTGTATATATGCATTTGTCGCGAGTATACACGCCCGAGAGCTCGACGCGTAAAAAAAGAAGTCGCGCTGTGCAGGCCAGGCCAGCCACGATTATTGCCTATATATACAAACTAGGGGGGCTGCGCCCCCCTGCATTGTCTATAATGGTGACTCAGATACTAAACTTTATCAGAAGTTGTATTTTGGTGTAACGATGAACTTCTTATAATATTGACCAATTTGAGGTATACGAACATGTTTTTTTTTGACTTTCATGGTTTTTTACACTATTTTTTCAATTTTAAGGGGTTTTGAGATTATGAATGTCTTGTTTGAGTACAGATTTGAATTCTACGTCAAATTTTATATGAAAAAACATGGTTTGGAAATTTTTTCATATGCACCCTAGAAAAGCAGAGTAACATGCAGAATATCCTCAAAACATGAAAGTCCAACTTTGAGCTCCTGTAGATAAATGAGGGTTGGACCTAGGGGGCTGTGGTGTTCAGGATTTTCATTTTTCATTGTTTTCTTGAAGAGTAAATGATTCGTTTCAACTTCATTTTTTTGGCCTACAATACCTGTTGTGAAATAGCCCATATACTTTTCAAAAATGTAATAAAAAAAAATCGTTTTTTTGAAAATTCTTCAGGTAGCAAATCCCTTGAAGAGCTTACGGCAAAACGTCGTTGATTGGTCGATCGAAGAGCATCTATGGGCATTCATCCATCAACTTGATCTCTTGATCAGGAATTGGAAGGGCGATTATCCGAATCTCCGGGAAATCTTTCAGCCCGAAGAAATCGATCTTCTCCTCTCGGCAGCCTTGATGTTCGTCGAGGGCTTGGCGCGCTCGAGGAAAAACAAAGGAGCAGCCATCATCAGGTTTGTAGCTGCAAGCGGCTACAGAGACGAGCCCGAGGTCGACGAGAGCGGCGGCAGGCTGGTGCTGCATCGCACCACACCGGTGCATCGCGCCATCAAACGAGATCGTTACATAATCGAGCGATTGTTCGACATTTACAACGAGAATTACATCGACGTCGAGTCTGGATTGTCGCAGTTCCATGTGGCCTGCAGGCGTGGCTTAGAAAAAATCGTCGAGTTATTCCTGGAGCTCGGCCAGGCCGATCCCAATGTCCTCGCGGAAAAGACGCTCGACTCACCGCTGCACTTGGCCGCGGCCGGTGCCTGCATCGGCGTCATGCGGATGCTGCCGAGGAGAGGCGCAGATCCCGGCTTGGCCAACGTGGATGGATCGACTCCCATGCACGTGATCTGCCGCAAAGGCGACTGCGACGGTCAGGCCGAGATTTTGCTCGAGCTCTGTAGGGATGAGTATCTGCCACTGCCGCTCGACGCCCGGACGAGCTCGGGCGAAGCGGCGCTGCACGAGGCTCTGACCAGAGGTCACTGGAGGATGGCCGAGTTTCTGCTGAAAAACGGGGCAGATCCCAATCTGGCCAATGGAGCGGGAGAGACGGGCTTGCATATCGTTTGCAGGAGGGAGCGCGGTTCTCGTTGCTTGGCTAGCAAGTTGTTCGAGGCCTGCAAAGACGTCGGACGGACGCTGGATGTCAACGCCGAGGACTCGAAGGGATGGACACCGCTCAACTTGGCTCTGTTTCACGGTAAAAGGAAGATGGTGGAATTGCTGCTGAAAGAGGGGGCCGATCCGCGTCGAACGAATTCAGAGGCAACGACGAGTCTTCACGTTATTGCCTCGGCGGTAGCCCACGACTTTTTGGCCGACCAATTTTTCCAGATCCTGTCAGAGTCACATCGGCCGTTGCGAGTCGATGCACAGGATAAATTAGGTAACACACCGTTGCATGTGGCACTGGCCAACAACAACAGAAGGGCGGCTGAAGCATTGCTTAGAAGACAGGCCGACCCTAATCTGGGCAACGATGAGCGATATACCGCTCTGCACGTCATATGCAAGAGAGACAAGGACGACGGCTTGCTCAGGCAATTTTTCAAGATGATCGATGCCGTCCAGACGACAGTGGAGGTCGATGCCCGAGACAAGGAGGGCAATACGCCGCTGCACTTGGCTGCCGCCGGTGGCTCTTTGATATTGGTCAAGTGACTGCTGAGAAGAGACGCTGATCCTAACGCATACAACGATGAAGGATCGACGCCTCTGCATTTGATTTGCAAGAGAGACGTCGACGGCGGCTTGGCGGCGCAATTCTTCGAGGTTGCCCTCGATATGGATCTGGAGGTGCGGATCGACGACCAGGACAATAGGGGCAACACTCCACTGCATTTGGCCCTGGCTGCTGGCTGCTGCAACCGGTATATGGTACAATTGTTGCTGAGAAATCAAGCCGACCCGAATCTGCCCAACGAGGAGGGCCAGACGCCTCTTCATTTGCTTTGCAGCAGGGACGATCTCAAGGAAAACACGGCGTTTAAATTTTTCTAGATGTGCCAAGAGCAAAAGGAGCCGCTGGAGGTCGATGCCGTGGACGACCAAGGCCGTACACCGCTGCAATTGGCCGTGGCGAATCTTCTGCCGCAAGAGGTCCACTTGCTCTTGGCCAACGGCGCGGATCTAGCCGCGTTCGTTTTTCCTAGCAGGAACGACTTCCACGAGGCGCTCGGTTACCGCGAAGACGACGATTTGTTAACCAAGGCGGACAGAGTGGGTCGTGCTCTGCTGGTACTGACGTTTCTCGAGCAGCGGGGATACGAGATGGATCGTGGCGAAGCCTTGACGATCATGAAATTGTTCGACGAGTGGGTACACTTCACGACGGCGCGTGATCCTGAACAGGTTTGGTGCAAAGAGACGGGAAGAAACTACACGGAAAAACTTTTGAGCGAGCCTCACGCTCGAAACTCGTTGAGACGCGTGCGCGCTCTATCTCGAGCACGATATATACTCGATCTCGAGCGCAAAACGCGCTCGAGATGTATCGAGTGTAAACAGCGCTCTAAGCTGAGCGGGAAAACCACACGTCTCGTTACTCCGTCGATCTCGATATACACCCAACCCAAAATCTCCTGTATAAGGCTGATTCTCTCTCTGTTATTTGTAATTTTTTAATACAATCATTACAATAACTTGTGTGCAAGTGGAAAAGAAGAGGAGTCAGTGATACCTGACCTAAAGATCTATAAACAGCGCCCTAATCTGAGCGGGATAACCACACGTCTCGTTACTCCGTCGAGCTCGATGTAAACACAACCTCAAATCTCCTGTATAGGCTGCTGCTTCCTCTATTATTTGTAACTTTTTATTTTATTATTACAATAACTTGTGTACAAATGGGATAGAAGAGGAGGCAGTGTACTTGACCTAAAAATATTTCTTTATTATTTATAAATGATAAAAATTTTAAATTTAAAAAAAAAGTTTACTGTACAATAAAAAAACATTATTTTCAACTACTCAATAGATCCTTCAATAAGTTTTTTACGCTTCTTGACACACAAAAATCCTTCAAATTAAGTCGAACCACTTCCCGCCAAATGTCTGCCAAATGTCTCGGTTCAAAAGTTACACATCTTCCAGACCGCCACTTTTGCTCTATAACAAGGAAGCAAAAGTTTAACTTTTCGTTTTGAATCTTAACTTTTCTCATATCAGGTGAATTTCTACTTTTTTTTATTAAATCAGAGCTTGACTGCTTTGCTTTCAAAATACAGAAAAAAAAACCAAAGCTGCACAAGTTGATAATACTAATTTTTTCCTCTGAGAGCCAAAAATTATCAACAAAATAGTGTTTACGATTTTTTTACGATTTTGTAGTTATTTTTTGAAATATTTGATATTTTCATTCCTGAAAACATAAAATACTTAAAAATGTGTCATTGAAGAACGATTTTTAAAATTATAAATTATTCAGTACATAATAATTAAAAAGCTATAAACGTTACTAGCGATAATTAAATGCATAATTATAATTATTATTAACATAAGCGTATAACTGATACTATTAAAAAAATTCAAGTTATTAAAAATAAACCCAGCGAGACTTACGTGCGATTCACGCTCAGGTTGAGTCGAAACATCACTCAGCGCTAGAGCCGAAAATGCACTCAATGAGACTCGAGCGCAAATGGCGCTCGAGCTCGAGCACGATTCACGCGCAGTCTCGAGCGCAAAACGCGCTCGAGTTGCGTCGAGCGCAAATCGCCCTCAAGTCGAGCGGAGATCTCGCTCAACACAGAGCATAGTTTACACACAGCATAAACTCGAACGCAATTAGCTCTCGAGGTTCGAGCGTGAGGCTCGCTCAAAAGTTTTTCCGTGTAGGCAGTTCTACTACCAAAGTTGCGCTCGCTCGAACGGACGGACGGACGCTCGGTTTTTACGGGTTTACCCCTGACACCAAACGCGAATATAGATGTTTCACATCAAAAAAACAAGAAACATCTTTGACCTTAATTTGCTATGATTTTTCCCGCGAAATCAAATAGCTTTATTGACTTTTTTCAAAGAAAAACATTGAAAAATTCGTCTGAACCAACTTAAGGTGGCTAGTCAGTAAAATGGGTCGACAACAGATGTTTATGAAACTTTGTAGAAATGTCATTTAAAGTGTCCTTGATATGCTGTAGAAATTTCAGCCTGGGTTATCGAACTAATTTTTAAGAACCAAGCCGTTGAAAATAGCAAATTTAACATGGGCTATTATGGGAGTACACCATAATTTCATACATTTTACGCCATAACTTTTTTATTCGACGACAGATCTTAACCAAAAACGAATATGTTATGCTTCAAGTCACTATACCTTTCGATTGGTATGTTAAAAATCACCCCTTATCGAACTAACTAATGAGTAATTAAACAAAAATGTGCGTAAAATCATTGATTTCGAATAGTGCGAGCGGTTGCCTGCCTAATGCAAGAAAGAGACAGACATACGCCTCGCTGCACTATTGCTATGATTATTGAATAGCCACCTCAATGCGCGCGATAGCATTTCATTTCGAAATTCGAATCATCAAGTATCGAAGAGCATTTCGAGTTTCTGGCTTTTCCGTCCTCTCGCAGCTGCGCAACTGCAGCTTAACTTTTACTTTTTTTCTTTTCTTTTCCTTTCTCTTCATGGATGCTAGTTCTAGTGAATTCGTTTGTACACGTTCGAACACGTCGCCACACAAGCATAGTGCATACACAGCAAGATTTAAAAGTATTAGTGTAAAAAAGTATAATTAATACAAAATATTTCAAATTGTAAACAATTGTGTGAACTGTGCGTGAGTAAGTAAAAATTACGTTCATCTCGGAACAAGACTCCAGCAAAATTATTCAAAATGAAAATAAAGAATCCGACAAGCATGATTTCGAGCAAGCGGATGCCATCGTCAATCAAGAAAAAGTCGAAAATTCAAGGAATCTATTACCTTTAGAACGACAAATACTAGAGGTTATTATATAATTTTTTATAATTGTTTATATTATATAGTATATTACTGCCCTAGGCCGCGAAAAACAGAAAAGTCCCAGCGCCGAAGCAAAGCCGAAGCCGATAAACACGTGCTCTGGGGCTTTCTTTTTTCGCGGTTTAGGCCTGTATTCTATTTTTCATACACAGTGGGTCGAAAATGGCTCCTTCCGTTTTGCGCATATGAAAAAATTTCTAAACCATGCTTTTTCATATAAAAGTTGGTTTAGAATTTAAATCTGTACTCAAAAATGACATTCATAACCTCAAAACCCATTAAAATTGAAAAAATAGTGTAAAAGACCATGAAAGTAAAAAAATAAACATGTTTGTATACCTCAAATTGGCAAATCAAAAGTTGTATTAGGGTGTAATATCAATAAATTCTGTACCTTGAGATAAAAATCGATTATGTTGACTTGAACTGGCTATATTGTAGTAAAAACTGATACACACACACACACTGACACACAGTACCGTGCTACCACGTTGCTTCCCGAAGAGTAACTGATACACGGAGAAATATGTATGTGGGGATCCGACTGTGGCAGTCTCCCCTCTACGCGCGCCTCCCCCCGCTCGCCGCTAGGAGCCGCGTGTACCAAGTCAGTGTAAGCTGAGACGCGTGATCAGCTAGTCGCATCGACGCTAAGAATAAACGTTAAGTGAATCAATCACGTCTCTTCATTTAACCTATCTCTCTGCCACCCTGGAGGCCTGGGGACCTCCAACGAGTACCTCTCGCTCTCCTTAATCTCCTCAGTGGTGACCTCGACAACTGCTCTCGAAGACGAGCAGGTCAACTCGGCAGTGAGTAGTGTTAGTGTTTTAGTGCGTCTCAGTAGTGTGCGAAGAAAATTCTTTGTCGCGTGCTGCAATTTGCACACGCCATTTTTCGCAACTCTACCCTCCTGCATCGAAAATTCAATCGTGCAGTTTTTCTTTTTTCGTGTTGCACTTGCACACGGCGTATCATTTTTTACCTAAAATAGAAGAAAAAGTCTCGTACTACGAGCCGCCATTGTGCGTATAAAACAAAAACTTTTCGTGTCGCGACCCGCACACGACTCTCGAATTCCGAGAAAAACCCACACTACGAGTGATATTAGTGCGCAGTAGCGGCGATCGTCGCAAATCGCATGCGGCCGCTTGATTTTTTTTCTCATTTCTTGGAACTCAAGTGGCATTCTAAAGTCTCAAGTGCGCGGTTTGAACTTTTTCATTGTTCGTGCTGCATCTTGCACACGATCACACGTTACCTTTTATAACGTGTTTAAACCGCATTTCAACTATAATAATTGTGCGCGTTAATTCAATCGTGTGTCAACTTGCACACTACGATACACGCCATATTTTTTTGGTTGCGACGAGAGCATCGCGCAGTGCGAATTTCGTGTAGCAACTTACAACTCGTAATCGCCACGGCACTCGCGACGCGCGACGCGAATTTTCGAGAAGACTCCACCGACGCATCGGCAACTGCCACGCGGTGTAGAGTAAAGCATCGTCCGGATCATCGGCACGGCGGCACAGCCACGTGCGGCTCCTGCGTCACCGGCGTTTTGGCGCGCAGCAACGTGCGCGCGTCGGCCATCTTTGCAACAGCGAAGCGAGGGGAGAAGAAGGAGAGCGGAACTCGACGCACTTGCCATCTTTGCCACTAGCAGCGGCGCGGCGTCCATTTTGTGCACAGCGCGATCTCCCGTCTCTCTCTCGCAGCGGCCACAGTGACAGCAGCCGACGACTCTTCGACTCGACGCAGCGGCGCTACGCAGCGACGACTAGCTTCGAACATCGACTCTTCACGTCGTGAGTCAGCGTGTCGCAGTGAATCTTTAGTGCACTTGACATTTTTCGGGATCAAATATTATTTTCTTTCCGTCTTTCAGTGAACAGTGCCTATGCTATTGAACAATAAAATTAATTTTAAGATTATTTCAATAGAAATATTCACAACATACATATTTTTTTAGAAATTAAGTGCGGTAATCATACACATATTTTTGAAAAGTTGGTGCGATAATCC